TCTCTGAGAACAGTATGAGATAGGACACTCTCTGCTGGGATGATGAGGGCAGATGGGACAGGAGCCTCCTTGGTGGAAAATGGTGATGGCTGACATTAGACCTAAGGAATTGGCAGTCACATTAGGCTGTTCTGGCATCCGAAACTCTGAACTGAGATTTCTAATTGCTTTCTCACACTGCTCCTCCCTAAACCATGTAGGGCTGAGCATTAGGAATTAAGCACCACTGAATCATCACCTTTTGGGGCTGCCCACATTTTCCACTGAGTTCACTCTATCCCCAGGTTTATGACTTTTCTAAGAGAAAAACCAGAGCTGGTAAGTTAGTTTGGGGAATTTGCCTCAGGTCAGACTTTTTTTCTTGGTTCCTATGAATCCGAAACTAAATCTGATCAGAGTTTTTTTGTACACAAGGAAAAAGTTCAACTYAACGCACAAGAGACTAGTGTAAAATCTCAAGTACTTCTTGATTAATTTGTGATATAAGGAGGAGGGCGTTCCCTTCTATAGATCAGGTATGTGTTTCCCCTAGGTTGAGATTAATATTCTTGGGCATCTAATGAGGTATCGAGAGGATGTGGGTGGGTGTGGAGTGGGACCATTGCCAGGTGATGAGAACCATTTTGCTGGCTACAACCAAATTCTTCACATTGGTGCAGGAGACATTCTGTACTAATATTGCGTCATACTCCCAGAATTTTAAAAACACTTTACCCTTATTATGGTTTCTATATGAGGTGTCCCCCAAAAGTTCATGTGTGAGACAATGCAAAAGTTTTCAGAGAATACGTGATTAGATTATGAGAGGTATAAACTAATCAGTGGGTTAATCCACTAATGTGGATTGCAGGCAGGTAAATTGTGGTTGGAGGAAGTAGATCCCTGGGGGGTGTGCCTTTGGGATTTATATTTTGTCTCTGATGAGGAAAGCTTTCTCTCTGCTTCATGACTCTCATGTGTGGAGCTGCTGTCCTCTGTCACATCCTTCCACTAGGATGTACTGTCTTACTTTGGACCCAGAACTGTGGAGTTGGCCATCTATGGACTGARCCTCTGAAACCATGAGCCAAAATWAACWTTTCCCCCTCTATGTTGTCATTGGGTCTTTGGGTTACAGCAACAAAAAAACTGATAAAACACACTCTATCACAACCACTTTTCCTAATTTCCGAGTCTTGATTTTTCTGAAATTTCTAGCAAATTAGACTTGTTGCATCCAAAAGCTTCATCGGGCTATGAACTCAACAATTTCCCTAATACACGTTTCCTCCCCTTAATATAGAGTACATGGCTATGTGTCCTGAAAGTTTTGTCCTGTGTGGTTTTCATGGAATCACCCTAATCAATGAGTGCATTGATCACATGAAAACCCATCATTAATGTATGAGTGATAGTAATGATGACKTGGAATAGTAATTTTTAAGAATTTTACCAATTTTTTTAAAAAATGTGCTAAAATATCAGAAGTGTCTCAGTCTCACAAGACCAAACTTTGGGCCTGATACCCTTTAATGTCTGTTTTTAGTCATAAGTGCTCTTCAAATTTTTAATAATTGAATTTAATGAACAGCGTATCAGAGGACAAAATAACAAAATTACTTTTATAGTGAACTAATAAGATTTTTCTAAAACAGCATGTGGTCATATGGGGTAAATATTAGTTTGTAATAATATTCACAAGTAACATTCATGAAGAGAAGCTACCATATAAATCAGAACTTAAGAATGTTTTAGGGTTAGGGGTGTAGCTCAGTGGTACAGTGTTTGCATAATATATACAAAGGTTCTGGGTTCAATCACCAGCACCAAAAAACAAAACAAACAAACAAAAAAGTCTTGTGTTGCAGTAGAAATTCTAAAGCTCCCCAAGTATCTGTTAGGTCCTTTGTGTACAGGCATGGTCATTGGCCAGCTCTGGCCAGTGAATAATGGGTAGGGAATTGATGTGTACATCATCAGGCTGAATGTAGAGGAGTGGATGAGAGTTCTTAATGGGTCCTCTTCTGCATGGTGATTGTAGCATCCTCATAGTATGATTACAAACAAGAAGACTGAAGTAACCTGGATGCTCTAGTCACTGGGAGGTCTAAGGCCTTAGGGGTCACCTGAATCCTTATTAGAATTGTGTGAAATGATYAGTCTTTGTTGTATTAAATCACTGAGATCCTGAGGCTGTTACTATAGCATAACTTAGTCTAGCTTGACTAATGTGGTCTAGAATGGTGTTTCTAAAAGATCTTTGACCGTGACCCATAATAAGAAATGTGTTTTACACTGTGAACCAGCATACACACTCAGACAAAGACAGACAGACACACAAACATACACACAGCTGGAAAAAATATTTCAGAAAACAATACTTATCCTTAATGTGCATGATCTAGTTTACCCTACCTTACTCTGCCCTACCATACCGTATCCTATCCTATTAAAAAATCCTGGTATTAACTTTCTAAATTGATTTTACAGTGTACTAATGGATGTCACCTGAGTTTGAAAAATGCTGCTGTTGATCATAATTTGTGTATGACTTATATGCTAATTATGTCTTTCATGCATATTTACTAAAGAAAGCTTTTTAGGTCTCTCACTGGAAACTTTTTGTTATCTTCTCTACAATAAATGGAAAGTGTTTTCATGTAAGATACAGCACATCCCACATAATTTCTGGAAGGTAATGTTTTATTGTTGAGCCTCCTAATTTACAACATATCATTTTAAATTTACTTATAAAATTTTGTCACAGGAAGTAACAATGTTAACCTGATTAATCGTTATTCACTTATTTTCATTTTTTAAAATAAATGACTATAAATAGCTGTCTCTTGCATTAGAATCAGGGATATCATAAAAACATCACTAGCTTGACATAGTTTAGTGTTAAGACTGATGMAAAAAATGAAATAGAGACCAAATATTTATATATAGCACTATATATTTTTATATACTGTATACTCATATCAAAACTTGCCATTTCTATTAAGAAGCTGATAAGTTACTCTCTAATTTCATAAATTATATCACAAYTGTGAAAATATGGACAACTATTTTATATTTTTGCTGCTTATATAAGACATTTAATGTTTATACAGAGAGTTGCAAAATTACAGAGGTGACAAAATGGGAATTGATGATTTTCACCTGAATTTCCACCGGCCTTTGTCTTCAGCCAGAATCATCTTGATATTCTCTGAATGTTCTTTTAGAGATGAATATGGTGTCTGTTACACATACACACATTTTAAGTATATGTGTGTATATACATTTATACAAGTGTATATATATACACATATATACACACATGTATATAGTCTACATATGTATATATAATATTTCTGTGTGCACTTATACACACATGCACACATAATGTCCTTTGGTTTATTTTCAGACCATTAATGTGAAATGAATTTTCAATGATTTCCATTTATATTTTATTTTTCTTTAAACTGGTTTAAAAAGACCTTTGCAACAAGTAATAAATTTCTCTTAAAAAATCATAAATATCATTACACTTTAAAGCATGATGCAAGGGTGAGTCACAAGGTGTTAGAGAAGACAGAAATTCATGCCAGTGTGGGGGAGAAAAGAAAGTGACATTTCCAGAATTCTCTCTTAAAGTTGCACCTTCAGGGAATCTAACCCAGCGCTCCAGTGCTACTGGCTTTASTAAAGTTGACTCCAGGCCAAGCACATACTCCATTGGGAAGGGAGGAATGGAGCCAGGAGTGGTTGAGAATGAATAGTTTTTTTTTTTTTTTTTTGAATGGCTGGRCACTGGGATGGGGGTGAGAAGCCAATCCTTGGGTAGGAACAAAAAGTGACAACAGGTCACTTCAGTAATACTTATTTGGCAATGAAATTGCATCTTTTGGATTTGATAACTGTAACCTTTGGGTGGCATGTCAAAAGGGCTCATGGATTTCTGCATTGCCAAGATGGCAACTCTGTGCTTTCCTATAAGAGGGCTCCTYTTGCTTCTCGAGACCTCAAGTCACTGGGGGATGAGTTGGCTTATTCCCCTCTTGGCCCACGAGGCCCCTCATAAATGGAGGTCCATGTAAAGATGGTTGCTCCTACCTTCAAATGTGCCCCCGCCATCCCTCACACACCTCTTCAGAACAGAGGCCATTTCCCCAATATATCTATGACATCGTGACACGAGGGAACAAGACATTTCTTTCCAGTGATACTTTTAGGAAATCAAAGCCCATGTAGAGGTGTATAAAACTGTCAAAAATAATACCTTATCTCTTACATCAAGATCAAGAAGTCCCAAAGTGACTTAGGAAAGGTAATGTTCTTATTTTAAAAACTAGCAAACTCTTCTTTACCAGACATGTTGTGAGGCCCGCCTTCATTTTTCCCCATTTTTGGATAGCTATGTGAGGAACCCCTGAAAACTGGCAAGGAGTGGGGGGTGGGAGGGATTAACTCTGTTCCAACTTGGAAAGAACTGAGCTGCTCCAGCAGATTTTTTTTTTTTTTTAACCATAACTCAGAGCAGCAGCTGGTGAATTTACAGCCAAGCTACTTAGGTTTTATATCATGCTGGCCGAGTAGGGTGAATTACAATCTTTGYGTTGGCGGTAGATTTCCAACGCTCATTTTTAAATCTCTTTCCCTGTCCAGTAATTAGGACTCTATAGATGACATCTTTCTCATCATGTCACCTTAATCTACGTTCCTGAAAAACTTTGCTAAATTCAAATCATCTTTCCCCAAAGGATTAACAGCTTCCCCTGTGCTTTAAAGAGCTGCAGAACTCGCCTTCTGCATCAGCTTTGACTTCTCTTGTTACATAACAGTTCCTCAGTTGAGAGCACAGACAGACGTTCTTGGTGTTGCTATGTGTGGCTTTTTTTTTTTTTAACRTGCATTCTTTTCTCTTCTCAGATATGAAAAAAAAATTTCAGGGGAAAGCTGCGCCAGTTTTGTTTGCAGGATATCACCCATTTGAATGACAGAAATAAAGAGGGTAGAATAACACATAGGACATAGATGTTAGTGGGAACATTATATTTGGGTCATAGAAAAAAAAAGGTTGCTTTCATTGTAATGAAAATAATCATTGATAGTGAGCAAAGCTGCAGTTCAAGAAGATGGAATTGCTTGTGTGGGGTGACAGTAATTGCTAGGTGCCTGCCAGAAATGTGGAGCAAGGATAGAGGCAGAGAATGGGAAGGGAAGGAGGTGGTGGAGGCAGAAGTGCAGCACTAGTTCTTATTTAGGATGCTTTTCAGGCTTCTCTCCACAGCTTCGTCCAGCTCTTCCTCTAGCTCTTGCTTTTTGGACATGGCCAGCTTGGACTGGTAATCCCTCACCACCTGGTCGATGTACGGGGCACTCTGTGTGCCATGCAGCATGAGAGTCCACTCCTTCAGCACCCCCCTCTGGGGTGCGCTGCCCACAAACCCCAGCTCCAGGGTCCAGGTTCCTCGGGCATCTTCCCCCCAAGTGTGGGTGGTCATGAAAGGCCACTTGTCAAAGCCCACCTTGGAGTCGTCATCCCTCGGACGTCTGCTTAGCAAAATGGACTTGGTGCCCATAGGGGAAGTCATGTTGATGTTCAGGTCTCCTCTTCTGGTTGCATTGACTGTGATGACAGCTTGGACGTGCTCAAGGTAGCGGACGAAATTCTCCTTCCCTTCACATGCATCAGTCGTGAGGGTCAGCACCAGCTTGCCAGTGGATGGTATTTTCCTGAGGGCAAAAGGGCAAAGAGATAAAATAAGAGAAGRTGTGCACTCTGTGAGGAGGTTTGAAGGCAGAAAGAGTGGGGGCTTTGGAGTTAATCAGACAGACCTGGGTTTAGCTTCTATGCCAGTTGTGTGAGTCTGAGCAATTTACCATGCTCAGATACTTTCCCGTAAAATGGGAATGTAGCAGATGTTGTTGATGCCCCTCCCATGTCTTCTAAGTCCCTTCTGAGTCCAGTGCASTGTGATTGCTTCCCATCTCATGCATGAACAACTCCAGCTTCTCCCCCGCTTACACCATGGGAACATGCTTAGTCTGTCCAAAGGTGCCAGTGACATAACCTCTTAGGAGCATCCCTCTTCCGATGATTGACAGGATGTGGTGCATAAATACACTCTGACTTCTCTATCCCTCCATGGGACAACTCAGTGTCCTCTATGGGGTTGATTCTAGTTGCCAGTGGTGGCAACGTGCTCAGTCATGCATTCTTTATTCTTTTATCCAGTCCCCTGTTTTGCATCCTCACTTCTGTGTATTTCCTGGGATCATCTCTCAAAAACTGTCCATGCACCCAAGTTTTGTCTCAGGATTGACTTGAGGCAAGAATCCATACTTTTCTTTTAATTTCCTTGATAAACAGAATATATTGCTGATATGATTATGATTACAGATTGAATATGAACTGGAAGTATCTTAGATTTCGAACTTTTCTAAAATTTTGGAATATTTGCATAAACATAATGTAGACCCATGCTTACACATGCATTTCATGTATGTATGTGTGTTTTTCCTGTATACCTTATATACACAGCCTAAAGATAATTTTAAGCAACATTTTAGTGTACCTGCATTTTGATTAGTGCCCATCACATGAGTTAGGTTAGAATTTTCTACTTGTGACATCATGTTGGTGTTCAAAAAGGTTTGGATTGTGTAATACTTTTGATTTTCAGATTAGAGACACTCAACCTGTTCTACCATTTTAAAAAAAGTTGAAACTGGGTAAATTAATTCTGGTGAATGACAGTTCTATAAGACATGACCAGATTTTGGGGATGTCTTTGTCCACAGAGTTGGACCCTCTTGAGAAATCATGCTGGGGATTGAACCCAGGGCTTTGTGCATRTGAGGTAAATGCTCTACCACTGAAGCTACATCCCCATCCCAGTGGTAGATATTTTTAAACACACATCTTGCAAAAACACTTCTATAAAAAGATGCTGGTCATGCACCCAGCTCAGAGACAAGCTTTGTTTCTTTATTGCTCTTGGAATCAAGATTGTCATCTTGGGAGGGCTTGCCAARGCTTACACTGCAGCCCATCAATAAAAGCAATACTCTCCCAAGGAACTTAAAATATATGAGACAGTTCTCACAGAGTGATGCTATGCACCGTCCCCCTGGAYGTGTATGTTGAGTGATGTAAAAGTATCTACTGGTTATGGAGGGCCACTGATGGTGGTAGAGGTAGTCTTTTTGTTCCCAGGCTCTGGAGAAACCATCCAATTTGGTGGCACTGGCTTACAGCCCATATTAGAGGTCAAAGCTACATACATGACTATATACACACACTCCTATACATAGTGTATTTACAAATAGTTGGACCAGCAGAGGACATCCCTCTGTGATGGAAATATTTTATATTGGTGCTCTCTGACACACTAGCCACTTGTAATGCAGCTGCTGTGAGTGAAGAATTGAATTTTAAATTTATTTTATTTTAATTAATTACATTTTATCAAATGTAATTTGATAAAATTACATGTATTAACATGTGGCTAGTTACTTCTAAATTGTTCGTATATGTTGAATCTGAATGTGATAAGAACATCAACATGCAGGAGGCCTCTTGGACTTCAGTTTCCAGGACAGTGGGTTTTTTCCTGGCTCACAAGCTTTAGGAAAGCAGTTGGGGAAAGTGTAGATTCTGTGATATAGACTTTCTCCACCTTTCTAGAGATCTCTGGAAAGTCCAGAACCTTAAGGTATGAAGGAAGCATCACCACTGGGTTTCGGTACAGATAGCAGGCAGGTCCAGAATAGGGTCTTTCCTTCTAGAGTGCAGACAGAAGGGCCCTGGGACTCTCTGAGAAGGGAGTGGGAGGTCATAGAGAATAATTGGAAGAGGTTCCAGCTCTGAGTCCTGCATGGAAGCCTATCTCCTTTCCTGTCTTGTAGTCTGGGCTTCTTTGAAAAACTCAGGGAGGAAATCCACAAGCCAACAACCAGAGGCCATTATACTGAGTAATAACCATTTTAGAAACTATAAAATTCACTTGTCATTTGTCAAATGCAATAGTCACTATTACCTTAAGGATTCAAAACATAAGCTGAATTCTAAGAAAGATTGTTTTCTGTCTTAGTTTGCACTCACGGTTCTTATGGTCTAGAGTCACCAGTGACRGTCACCTTACAGTCAATTTGTAGAAACGGGCAGAAAAGTGACATTGCTTCCCTAAGAGAAAATTGAAAGTATTTCTTTGATTGGCTAAGAATCAAAGTTGGGACAGTCACGTAAGTTAGAAGTCAGATCCACAGCCCACAACACATTGGAGATTCTGTGAATTAACAGTAAGGTCYCCCATGCAAGAAAGAAGTTGTTCTAGTACTCAGATCATCACTTATGATAGAATGAGAAAGCTAAAAGGCAGGCAAGTCTAAATTAGATCAAACATACAAAATTGTGTTAGGAATCACACATTTTCCTAGAAGCCTTGGGGGTTGGGAATGTGTGTAGGGGTCAGAGGATACAGAGGTATCCCTGTGGAGTATGGCTTATTTAATGCTGTGGAGGAGTTGTCTACTTAAAAAAACCCAATCTAGATTCCTCAAGAAACTTGGAATGGAACCACTATTTGATCCARCTATCCCACTCCTTGGTTTATACCCAGRGGACTTAAATTCAGCATATTACAGTGACACAGCCACATCAAGGTTTATAAAAACTCAWTTCACAATAGCTAAACTATGGAACCATCCTAGATGCCCTTMAACAGGTGAATGGATAAAGAAAATGTGGTACATATATACAATGGAATATTACTCAGCCTTAAARAAGAATGAAATTATGGCATTTGCCAGTAAATGGATGGAACTAGAGAATATCATGCTGAATGAAATAAGCCAATCCCCTCAAAACAAAGGACAAATGTTTTCTCTGATAAGTGGATACTGATCCATAGTGGGATGGGGGTAGGGAAAATAAAGRAACTTTTGGATTGTGCAGAGTGGAGTGTGGGGAGGGGTGGGGTTGTGGGGATGGGAAGGATGGTAGAATGAGAAAGATATTATTACCCTATATACATGTATGATTATACTACTGGTGTGACTCAAGGAGTGAGATGTTATGCTCCATATCATGTGTCCAAATGCATTCTACTRTTAAGTATAAYTAATTAGAGCACAAAACAAAACAAAAATCCAACCCCCAGGCTGCCATGTGAACTGCTTACTGCACAGGGGCTGGGTCCCCTAAAAGAGAACACGTTTGATTGAACAGCTCTGGCAATGTTAAGTTACTATGGAACTAAATTGAAGCCTGATGTGAGTTCCAGGGACAGTAAAGTTGGTAGAAATGGAAAACACTGTTCCATGTTCTCATTGTGTTTTTGRCAGACAGGATGGCATTTAGAGAGCCTAGGAACAATACCACCGTTGTTTCAAATCCAGGGGTTCCACATTCAACCAAATGCTGATGGAAATTTGGAAAAACAACTCTGTAGTGTACATGTACAGACTTTTTAAGAATTATTCTCTAAAAAATACAATATAACAGCAGTTTGTATAACATTGCTATTAGGGTTTGAAGGTGAGATATCCCTCTTCACAGCCAAAAGCTCCTATGTTAATGCAGGAATATTCAGGGATGGAGTGATTAGATTATGAGAGCTGTAACCTAATCAGTCCATCCTAGTGGAATCAACTAACTGGGTGGTAACTGTAGGCAGGTGGGGAGTATCTGGGGGYGGGTGGGTCACTAGGGGCATGGCCTGGAAGGATTCATCTTCCCTGTGGCCCTTTCCCCATTCTCTTTCTTGCCATTAGTGAAGCAGTGCTCTTCTTCCATACCCTTTGGGCATGATGTTCTGCCTCATCTTGGGCCCAGGGCAATGGAGTCTGCTGATCACGGACTGAACCTCTGAAACCATGATCCCCAAATAAACTTTTCCTCCTCTACATTGTTCTTGTCAGGTATTTTGGTCCCAGCCACAAAAAGCTGACAAACATAATGATATTGTATTATTCTCCCCATGCTGCTTCTGCCATTTATAATTACTTTTGTTGCTCCCTTGTATTTTCTGATTTTTTTCTATAGTGACCRCACATTGCTTTTACAAGAAGAAAAGGAGCAACAATCATTCTAAAAGAAAAAGAAGATACCTGCACCAGAAGAGTCAATTTATAAGAAGGTTAAAATATGAGTAKATTGTGGAACCAAAGGAGGCTCTACAGAGATACTTTGGACAGTCACAGGGTGTTGGTTCCCAGGCCACATTCTGGAGCTCATTTGCAGCAGAAAATAAGGCGCACATCCAGAGAGTGAAGAGCTCCTCTCTGACCTTATAGGGATGATGTACAATAGCCTAGTGTTCAAATTCTAGAAAAGAAAAGCCTTGGGGTTTGGGGATGGCTTGTATCTTTATTCTATTGCATACAATTCATGGTTGCCTGGTGCGTAGACACAGGTCTTGTTTCCCAGGGATCCTGGTGAAATGCAGTTTGTATTATGGATCTTCAGCTGTATGATACAGCAATAATAGCCACTCTTTTTTTTTTTTTTTNTCTTCCCTGCCAGAGTGGCAGAGCTCCAAGGTGGGCTGGGCAGCCCCCCAAGATGCAGATTGGCTAGGCTCAGGGTGTCTAGTTTTCTGCCTTCTGGATAAAGGGTATATGTGACCTGTGGCTCTTCATAGCCTTTTTCTTAATGTGCTCACCTTCTGCCAAGGCCAGTTTCCTCTCTGGATGGATAAGCTTGGCTCCTCTGGGCCCCTTACTAGCTGCTGTGAAGGGGAGGGGTTAGGGTCCCCTGTCCTCAAGCACTCTCCCTTCTCTTCCCTCTGCTTTCCCTTCCTCTGTCTTTTCTTTACTCCAGCTGGCCCTGCTGAAAAAGAAAACCTGCCTGGATGCCCAGGCTTAGTTTTGTATCCCCCTCATTCTGGGGTGCTGTGAGGGTCTGTGTCTTTGTGTCCCTGTGTTCCTCTTTGTTGTGTTGTACCCCTGAGCTGTCTCCTGGTTGGGCTTGGCCTGTGTCTGGCTAGTAGGAGGCCCAGCCCATCTGGGCCTCCCTCCCTCCTTGCTTCTGTATCTCTTTCACTCCTGGCTTTGGGTTTGGTTTCCTCCTGTGTTTGAGCTTTTTGTATCTCCTCCATTAAGCCCCTCTTCTCTCTTTACTGCCAGCCTGATTTCTCTCTCTCTCTCTCTCTCTCTCTCTCTCTCTCTCTCTCTCCATTTCTGGAGATTGATCTCAGAGGTGCTCTACAACTGAGTGCTGCTGGTTTATGTATTTTGAGACAGGGTTTTGGTAAGCTGTTCAAACTGACCTTGGATTTGGGACCTTCCTGCCTCAGCCTCCTGAGAGCTAGGATCACAGGTGTGCACCACCATGACAGCTAACAGCTGCTGTTTCTCAAGCGCCTAAAATGTCTGCAGTATGGAAGTCACACGAGAACACTCAGTGGGTGGTCATTGTGAGATTTCTTCTTTCTGATGGGTGAGAGTCAGGTGGACGGTGACCCACACAGGAAGACACTGTGGCTTAGCAGTGCCGTCCATGGTCAACAGCTGTCATGTGGCTGAGGATGCTCTTTTCCTAGTTCCCCTTGCTGCTTCTGGCATTCATACCAGGTTTTAACATTTATTTCTAAATTCACCTAAAATTCAGAGTTGGGGTGTACATTTAGCTGTGCTGTAAAGGAGCTGCATAGACAGTTCTCTTGGAGTACACAGAAGGGTTGGGGGCTGTCCCAGCTCAACAATGTCCCTGTTGGCTGATGGGCAGGCCTGTTCTGTCTCATTCTACCGGCAGGTGCAGCTCGTCACAGCCAGTTGCATCTCCCCTGTGATCATTGTGGAGCACCTTTCACCGGCTCTCTTGATAAAGTCTCTTTAGAAAATTGCTTTTCAAATTGACTCCTTCTCTAAGAAGATAAATGCTTAGGAAACCCATAAACCTGACACTCACTACTCTTTCAACCTCGCAYGCTGTTTCTGTGCAGCCTGGCATGTCATGGAAAGTGCCAATTCCAGGGATGTTGGTTCTTCTATTCAACCCCCTTGGAAGGGCGATTCAAATTAATAAGGATCTCCCCTGCCAAGTGGCGCAGCCCACCATGGGTTGTCCTTCTGTCTAGCCTCTGAGTTTTCCACCAACATATCTGCCCTAGACCTAACTCACTTGCATCTGAGAACAAATTCAGATGCAGGGGTGAACAAGGGCTCAGAGGGCAGCGGGGGAATGCAGATCCCTGCCAATCATGTTGGGGCTTCTTCCCATTTGCCTGGCTGTTCCTCTGCTCCTGTGGCATGTTTTCTTTGTGCCTAGGTGATGTTGGCTAGATATTTTTCATTTCTTCCTTTGTTCAAAAATATTTAATGTAGGTCTAAGTGCCCAGCACGATTCTAGAAACTGGGAATTTATCTGTAGTCAGAGAGACAAGGATCCTGTCCTTGAGAAGAGCCCAACTGAGTCTGTGCCAATAGAATAGCTTTCCAGTTTCTTTTAACTGGAAACAATATTATGAGTGAAACAGTTCCTGGCTAGTTGTGAGATGTCGAGATGATCAAAACTCTGGGTCTCAGATTCCTTAAACGATGGACATTATTCTTCATGTTCCCTCTGACTCCGTGTTMCACATGTAGGTGTAGATCATGACAGAATGCTATTCAGAAGCTGGGAGATCACTTGTCATTCATCTCTGCCTGTGCCCTCCTTCTCTCTTCTCCCTTCCTCCCATGGTGCCTCTCTCTGGCCCTTTCCTACAAACACACAATCCTTGAGGAACTTTGGAGTTCTGTCTGGCTTGTCTGAAAAAATAAGATCTCATTTCAATATGAACCTGGACTAAGAAGGTCCCAGGGTATTTAAAGCTCATTGTCCTTTTCAATTCTGCAACAGTGCCACCTTTTAAAATTGAGGACATATTCATTGTGCAGCCAAATGTAAATAGTGCTCCAGCTGCACTGCTGCAAGGAATGTTCTGGCCCCACCTGCTGCTGGCAGAACATCTGTAAAGGTGTGGACACCTSTTAAGTCTTTCTCTCTGCAACAGTAGATGAAGTTCTAGACCTCAGGTCTTATAGAATGGATGGGATGMTGGTTCCATGAACTAGGGCCCTTTACTTCATATTCTGAGCCTCTTTTCTCACCTTCAAATCGAGACTGGTGATGTCAACCTTCTGTGATGAAAAGAGATGATGGAAGTCAAGGGCCAGACCGGGGACTATTCAAAAGCATTTCTTAGCAGCATTCTCCCAGGACCCCCCTCAGACACCTAGAATCTGGAATCGTGATGCCATGTGGTCTGCATGTGGCACCTGGGGGGTGCTACAGAYGATTGTCAAGTGGACTTAGCAGGTGGTTTAGTAGCCTCAAGGTCTTGACACCCTTCCACGGAGTTGATGTTATTTTGGGGCCCAAAGACAGAATTTAGGGAGTCTGTTGTGTGTGTCTTCTAGGAGCATTTTGTTCATTATCAATGTTCTGAAATTATTGTGGACCTTAGATTTGCCACTAAAACTTTTTACTTAATGTATTGATAAAAATATATGCATTGCTGTATCACAAATTTGCTTTTTAAAACATTATTTTTGTAACTGGCTTTCAAAATAATTGGCCTCATTTGTAATCTTACCCATTTTTCTAATAAGTTTAAAAATGCTATATTGAGATGGGTTTGATCTATAGACTTCATACTGCCAAAGTGTAAGGTGTATTCAAACTCAGATGATCAACAGAAGTAAGGCAGAAACAGTAGGTGGATAAAATGGTGAATAAGATGAACTTAACCAGTATTTAAATACTACAGAAGTGTATTCTTACAATGGAACACACAGCCATTCTAACACATACATTAGAATGGTTAAAATGAAAAAGATTGATCATGCTGTGTTGAGCATGAATGAGCCACGACATGTAAAAACTTGGATAAACCTCCTACACCTAATTTGACTAAAAGAAATTGGAAAAAGCATTCATTCATACCATGTGATTCTTGTTCAAGTCCAAGAACTGGCAAAACCCACTTATGGTGAGGGGAATAAGAACAATGGTTGTCTATGGGGTGTGTGGACTAACTGGAAGGGAACACAAGGAATCTTTCCAGGTAGATAGAATGTTCTATMTCTTGATGAGGTGACAGTTACCTAGGTGTATACATTTATCAAAACACAAATAAACTTATATTCTGTGTATTTCATAGTATGTAATATCTCATCTATAATAAGAATTGCTATCTCTATCTTACTGATGGATCAACGGGGAGAGGAAAAAAATTGAAGAGGAAGGCTTTTTTTTTCCCAATATTTTTACCATTATGGGGAAGTGAGAAGGGAAGTAGGTACACTTGACCAACCCATCGATCCTGTGTGGAGAACTCATTCAAATACCACCAAATGGTGATCTGCCGCACTCTGAATACAATCACTGTCCCACAAGTAGAATGAATACATAAACAGTCCTACACACTGAAACACTGGCCAAGAAAATAAACGACAAGGACACACTAAATCTCAGTTACATAATTCTGAACAAGAGAATCCAGATATAAAAGAGAACACAGTATATATTCCATTTATACTAATTCGGAGTAGGCGAACTATCTATGGAGTTAGAAGTAAGGTTAGTGGTTATCCTCGAGGAGATGATGATGGAAGAGGATCGGGGGGTCCTTCTGGGATATCAGTCACATTCTGTTCACTGATCTGGATGCTCGTGGCACTGGCTGATTTGTGTGGTTAAAAATAATGACATGAGCCACTGAAAATTCTACAGCTTACGCCTAAAAGGGGGGTTCCGTGTTACACAATTATATTGCTGTGTAAATGGTGCTCCCTGGAGTTGTGCAACTCTACAGTTCTTCCTAAAAATTGGTTTTCCCTGCATAAAATCCAGTGCCTGCACCTGACCTGGAGAGGAAATCCCATAGTGCTGTCAATGTCACAGCACCATCACTGGTGCATTTTCCACATGTAACAGAAGAACCTCCGGCCCCACTTACTCAGGGTCCTGCACGGAGCCTCCCACACAGTGGAATCTCTCAGGCACGGTTTTCCAGTCTTTAGCCATTTTCACCATGGCGCCTGCATCAAGGACCCCGTAGCCAAAGAGGTGATTAAACTCCAGGCCGACCCCGTTTCGCCGCCACTGATGGACCTCGTCGTGAAGCTGGTTCCGTTTGGAGGTGAGCACGGTCAGATGCTGCATGTCTCGCCAGGTCAGGCCCAGGCTGGGTACAGGAAGCAGACAGCATGAGAGTAAGGGCAAGAGGCAGAGTGGGAGAGAGAGACATCACAATGAGCCAGATAAGCAACACCCAGAACACAGGCCTCTTGGGAGATTTTGGAACATTTTGAACTCCTCACTCAAGGAAGGGTGTCCATGCATGATTTAGAGCCATCATATATGTTAATTCAATTTTTTTTTGCCTTTCTTACTTAACAATGATTTATTTTAAAAGAGCATTCTAACACACACTCATTAGAATGGTTAAAATGAAAAAGATTGATCATGCTGTGTTGATGAAGTCGTGGAGCAAGTAGAACTCACGGGCTTTGCTCATGGGTGTGTAAATTGTTGCAACCACTCTGGAATCTGTTTGGCTAGATCTTCTAAAGTTGTCCATATGTCTAAACAATAGCCTAGAAGTTCCATTCTTATATATGTATCTGACAAAAATGTGTATATCTTTACCAGATATGTATATTAGAATACTCCAAGCTGTGAAGAACCCAAATATCCTTTAACAGTAGCAAGAATAAACCACGGAATGTGGAATGCTATACAGTAATGACAATGAATGTGCTATAATGATTTCTAATAATATGGACATGTCTTACAAATACTGTGTTGACCTAAGGAAGAGAGACAGAAAATRGAATGTTGTGGTTTGGATATGGTATGGGTGTCCACACCAAGGGTTCAAGAGCTTGATCCTCAGTGTGGTGATGTTGGAGGTGATGGAACCTTTAGGAAGTGGAGCTGAGTGGGAGGTGATTGGATCACCGGGGCCATTGCCCTCAGGCAGAGATAATGTAGTTCTCATAGAACCCTGGTTAGTTCATGAGAGAGGATTTGAGGATTTTTATAAAAGAGCAAGGCTGGCCCTCCTCACTCCCTGGTTTTCTGTTTAGCCATGTGATCTCTCCTCATCTGTGCTCCCAGCATGATGCCATCAGCACCAAAGACTTTCTGGAGACCACTTGATTTTGAACTTTCAGCCTCCCAAACTGTGAACCAATAAAACTTTTTTTCTTTATTAAATACTTAGCATCAGGTATTTTATTATAGCAAGGGAAAAGAGACTAATATAGAGAATGCATGTGTGATTCCATTTGTTTAAAGTATAAAAACAGGAACAAATAACCTATGCTGTTGGAAGCTGGGTTAGTTGTGGGATCATGACTGGGAGGGGACCTGGGGGCTTGTGGATGCTGGCAGTGAGTGTATGACTATATGAGTGTACTCATTTTAAAAATGAGACTGTCAGTTCTTCAAGGGCAGAGATAATATCTTCACTATATTTATATCCCCAATGCCCAGGATAGTCCTTGGCACATTAAACAAATCAGTTTGCTTTCAAATCCTATTGTCTTTAGAAATTAGTGTCTCTTATTAGCATCAATTTTTCAAGCTGCAAGTCATGATTCACTTGTGAGCTAGGAAATCAACTTATTGTATAGGTGAWCTACCTGGGTTACATATTAAATTCTTCTCAGGAGGCATTTAAAATCCATCTGCYCAGGCTATCCCAGACCAATGAAATCACAATATCTGGGAGCAAGACTTAGCCATTGAAATGGTTAATATTTCCAGATCTTCCAGCAGACAGTCAAGGTTGAGAACTAGTGATTTAATGGCTGGGGTTATCATTAAAACACTTAATAGAATAGAAAAGGATAGAAACAGTAACAGGGTGTATTACCTGTAATATTCTTATATTAATATTTTTCATGAAACTTTTGGGGTGTGTGTATGTTGTGTATGTTTATTTCTCACTGAGGGTCATGGTTAAAAAATTGGAAAAACCCTGAACTACTTACTATACTCTTCCAAAGTCAAATAATTCAAAGGGCTAGGAACAACATAACTCATTTGGTGAAGTTTCAACACACACAAAGTTCATTGATGTGAAGCTCTGAAGCAGAGCCAAAGTGTTCCAGGGATCCATATATTCTTGAAATATGGACTGTCTTCTTTTAAAGAGAAAGTTCAAAGGAGGGTCAATATGTAYTTGAGACGATTCAGAACATATCTGGGACAGATGGTCCTCAGGACCTGAGAGAATGGCATGGAATTTCCTGAAGATGATTATGGCTAAAAGCTCTGTGTTTCGCTGGAATGGGATTCTGAATTTATTGATCTCAGAAGTGTTGGCAAATGAGGATCTAAATGACCTGAGGACTGGCTAAGTATCCTTTGTGTTGATCATGGAAATGTACTGTGCTTCCCAATGTCTGAAGTAGGACTCTCTCAAATATTTCTTCAGTGTGTGTGTGTGTGTGTGTAAGAGAAAGAGAGAGAGAGAGAGAGAGAGAGAGAGAGAGAGAGAGAGAGAAGACAGAATGAATCAGAACAAAGAACTCCTTGCTTTTGAGATACACAAGAGCATAATACTACAATGTAAATGAGTGTGCGACATTGATTGTCTAGCCGTTTGCATATGTCTGAATAGTAAAACTGGACCTCTCCAAATTGCCCCTTCTRAAAAATTTCTGAATTGATAAAATACACTATCCGGTAAAAGAAGTGTTCCACGAACATGTTTTAAGCTTTAATTCTATCATACCAGCTCACGACTCACAAGTGATAGTTACTGAATTGTAAAAAATAAATTTACAGTGTATGTGCAACATAAAGATTGCTATGTTGGAGGCTGTAGGACAAGCACATGACACACATCCCCCTGCTCTCATATGTTTTATATAATAATTAGGAAAATAAAACACAGATATGTGAAAACACAGATATGTGAAGTGACTCTGTGGATGTCTCCTGGATGTGTCCCACATTCAGGCACAGTACTAACTTTGGGCATGTCATATGAAGGTCCCTCCTTCAAGAGCTTATAACGTGAGGACAGATGGACAACTCAATATTTAAAAAGTGAGAGCTGCCTTGCTAGGGGGAGCTCGGGATGCTGTGGGAACCATCTGTGGATCCCCTGTGGATAGGGAGCCTCTTTGTGGTCTACAAATCTCCTGTATCAGAACCACTTGGATRTTTAGTGATGAATTTAGATTCCCTGCTCTCTTAAATAAGCATCTTGGAGGTTGTTGGTCTGATAATTTGCACGAAATACAACTTCCTAGATGTTTTTTTCTACACACCAATGTTTGAGAACATTGGTCTAAGATGATGGTTCACAACCTCGGCTGCATATTTCAATCATTTGGGGATGGTAAAAAAAATAATGTCAGGGTCCAGATTTTGATTTCACAGCTTGGTTTTGATTCCTTGGGGGCAATGCCTCTTCTAGGAAAGAGTTGGTTTGAGGAAAAACCACAGTAATGGAAATCAGTCACAGYAGGTTTTAAATCCAACTGTGTGAACTTGGAAAAGTTACTTTAACAATCCAAACCCTACTGTCTATGTATTTAACTGGGGATAAGACCTTATAATCTTGTTGRAGGTTGTAAATGTAGATCAGATATGTAAAGTAACTACCACAGTATGAGCACTCAATGAAGAGTTTATTATTATTTATTATTATTATTATCAATATTAAAATCTACCTTATATATTRGGAATTGAAGTAAGTTAGAAGAGAATAGATACTATTTTCCAATGAAAATATGGATTGCAATATTTAAAAACATGTAAATGAACATTTCCTGACAGTTTTAAGTTATATTCAACATTAAGACCAACACACATCCAACTAAATTTCTTTTTAAAAGAAATTATATTCCTGAAGCAGGGTTACAGTATTCTAGACAGTCCTTTGAATCTTATGAATGATCTAACTTTCAATATTTTGCAGATAAGATAATAAAGAAGCAGAGAAAGTGAGTGATAACCCACTTAGTCACTGGAAGAAAACTAGGAGTTGTCTTTCCCCTGTATCTATTCTTCCTCCTTTCCTTAGTAAGAAAAATTTCAATTTTTTACTTAGAACAACAATATACTCAACTATAAAACTACATTTCCCAGCCTTCCTTGCAGTGTGGGGTAGTCATGTGACAGTTCTGGCCAATGAGAATAAGCAGAAGCCACTGAGTGTGGCTTTCTTGGAAAACACATATCTGCTTAAAGAATGCTAATTAATCAATGAGAACTACAAATCTCTTTAGGAATCCAGTAGCTTCAATTTAGGTTGCCCTTTCATATGTGTAAGGGCTTGGGCAAGTGACTTTTTGCTTGCYAAGATCCCAGGGGACTGTGAGTCAAGTCCTGCCAACCGAGGTTAAAAGGGACACTTCTGTTTGTCTGTGCTTGCAGTTGGAGTAAGCACAGCCACCCGACTCATGACCYGAGATGGACCTTTCATCTTTAGGAAATGTACAACACATGTAAGTAAGTTTTGGTTTCTGTGTTTAATAGTACTGAAGTTTCCCTCAAAAGCTCATGTGTGAAACAGTGCAAGAATTTTTCAGAGGTGAAATGATCATGAGAAATATAACCTAACCAGTGGATTAATCCACTGATATGCATTAATTGGGTGGTAACTGAAGGCAGGTAGGGTATGGCTGGAGGAAGTAGGTCATATATATTTTATTCCTGGGGAGCATGCTTTCTCTCTCTGCTTCCTGGTTGCCATCTCYTGAGCTGATTTACTCTACCATGCCCTTCTTTCCACCATGATGTTCTGCCTCACTTCAGGCTCAGWAGTATAGAGCTGGCTAACTATGGACGGAACCTCTGAAACCATTAGCCAAAATAAACTTTTCCTCCTCTACATTGTTCTTGTCAGGTCTTTTGGACACAGCAATGAAAAAGCTAACTAAAACATTAACTGTTAATTAAAAGTTAAGTTTTGACCAATGTCACTCTCCTAGTGTCTTAAATTTTCCACCTGACTTTTGTTAGAAGAATCAAAGGTTAGATTGGTCTAAAGAGAAAAGTCACTCTCAACTTGGGATCTTTTCTATAGAAGGAGAATAATTATCCCTTTCAAACTTGAAGACAGAGAGTTGAACTAAATGATCTTTCAAAGTCTCTTCCTATTCTAGGAACCAACTCTAGCCCCTTTTGCAAATTGTAAAATTCATGCATATGTGGAGTAATATAAGCAATACGGCCTGAAGATTGATGCTAGAAGCTGAAGTTGCCTAGCAACTGCTGACAGGGATAGGAAATTGACTCCCCTTCCCCAGGATCCTGAATCCAACTTGTCACAGTTTCTGGGTGTTGTGTTCTCTGACAACTCTCTATATAGCTGGCATTTATATTCATGCCATGTGGGGTATGTCTGAAGTCCAAGTGTTCATTCCTTGAACAGAAAGTCAACCTCTGGCTTCAATGAAAGAAGGCAGAGTGGTGGGTGGGCAGGTACCTCCTCTGATGCTCAAATCCAAYGTGTATTCGGCAGTAGTAATGGTAGTAGCCTCTCCGTGGGATGCTGAGAACATAGGGAATGGTCTCCTCTTACCTGCCACTTGAAGGTTTTCCCATTAAAGCCCATCTCTTGGTCTACACTGCATGGCTTTTCCCACCTTGTCTCAGTGTTGGAAAGTAAATTCATCTTATAAATGAACAAATCTTGTGTTRGGAACATCCTCTTTGCCAGATGTTTTGAAATGCCTTGCTAGATACCCAGCTTGTCAATTTAATTTTCCTTCATTAGCTGGTTAAAATATTGAAGTAAAATAGCCAAAAACCATATAGAAGATGAAGAGATGGATGAAGAAAGATGTACTTATGTGCCCTTATTTGATACCTAAGTAAGTTGCTGATATGTGTTATTGGATATTGGAGTATTCTGTCCTCCTAGAAATGTAGTTTTATGGAGTGTGTTTGTGTGTGTGTGTGTGTTGCGGGGTGAACATTTAGAAATGTTCAGCAGATTCATTGGCCTTGACCATTCGTAGACTTTTACATCTACTTTTGCCTCCACGGACACCTGGTATTGTGTAAAAAGGAACATGCTAGTCCACCTTCTGAGCTGACCCTGGTCCCAGAGCTATAGACGTACTTAGCCTCTAAAGCCAGGGCGAACACACCCGCTGCTTCTGGAGCAGCCGCAGATGTCCCAGAATGCCTCAGTGTGCAGTTGCCATACAAATCTGTGGTGGCCTGGAAGGAAAGACATTGAGTAATAGGTAAAGAAATCACATTATTTTGAATCTCCAAACAAAGTGGATGATGGTATTATCTATTTCATTTGAACTATGCCTTGTTCTGATAAGATTAAGATGAAACTAAGGATAAACTCAGCATCCATATACCTCTATCTCTTTTGCCATAAATTTTAATCTGAGCTTCCTAGTAGCCCATGCAGAATGGGACACATGATCAGTTATTGCTATAGTGTTCACAGGTAAGTAATTTCTTCAAAGAATCAACTATATGGCAAGTCCAGAGACTAACTAGAGAGACATTTACTTCCTGAATCTGAAAAGGAAACATTATGAGGTGGAAARTGATAAGTCAACGCTAGCATCTAGTCAATACAATGCTGAGTTTTGTTGCACTGATTGACTCTGGGAAAGCCTATGGGCCTCTGCACCAGTGTTTATTTTCCCTTCAATAAGGAAAGGGTAGTATTCTCAAAGAGGGAAGAAGAAACATGGTTGTCTAAACTGTACCTGGAAAGACAGAGAATCAAATATAATATTCTCCTATATCTAAAATATATGAAGAGACATGTCAAGTCAAGACAATTTGATATGTGGACGAATCACCTCCACAACTCTTATTTAGGGGAGAAAGTGATAAACTGAGCTTCAAAGGACTTTTACAAAGAGAAAAACATCATTTTCAATGTTTTGTTTAAGCCAGTGTTTTCATTAAGATCATGTGGAAACCTCTGTTTGTAGGATTCTATAGAGAGCCTATTATTTGGAGGAGCAAAGGATGAGGGAGGTTTAAAGGTATCTCTGGGGGAAAATTAAAATATTCTGAAGAAATTCAAGGCCTTTCCCCAGCTCAAGTAGATAAGGGTTGAGGGAAAAGGCCACCATTGGGTGGCCCTTTGGGTAGGGAGTGGAGCTTCTACAGGAGAGAGTGAGTCACCTCAAACAGAACAGGACTGAGGCCACCCTCCCTTTTCCTTTTCTAGGGGCTCTTCTCCCTTTCTTCCTGTACAGTTGGTGGAATAAGAAGGTCTGGAGGCTTCTTTTGCTTGGGAGGAACAGGTCTAATCTCCATCTTCCCCAGGACCAAGAGGGCTACAGAAGGGGCAGGCTGTTAAGGTCCAAACCTCTTTTAGGTAAAGGGTTTCTCCTGGCTCATGCAGAAGTCTGACCATTTTGCCAAGGAGAGAGCCCACGGAAGAATGTAGGATTTAAGAAAGACCAGAAGAGAATGTAGGATTAAAACACTGGATGGTAATAGGAATTTTGTTCGGAGCTCCCATCCTCCTCTCTTGAGAAACCCYAATGGAGGTGAGCCGCTGGTCAAGACTATTGAACCGTGGGTGAATCTTTGTAAAATTTACAAATGCACAGCTTAAAAAAAATCCTGGTTTGGAATTCTAAGACTGATAAAGGAATAAAATAACCAGAGAGAGGAAAAGATCCATAGGGTCAATTATACTCTATAGGTGACACATTTCTAAGGGGCTTGGAGAATTTGTCTTTATATCTAGTTGACCAAAAAGGAAGACATTTTGCTCAGAAAAGAGCAAACAACAACAAAAACAACAAAAAACAAAAACAAAAACAAAAACCACTTAAATTTGTGATCCTTAATTTTTGTTTTTAAAATCATGGTTCCATTTAAGAATATGATAAAAATCACATCCTTTTCCCTAAGAATATATGCAGATATGTTCAATTTAGGAGGTTTATAGGCCCAGGAATGTCCATCCATCAATGCTGATTTTTTTTTTAACTACCATAACATGGATGTGTTCTTAGCTAGGATGGGTCTGTGGTATAATAAATACCTCAATTCTTGTAATTACTTATTCTTAGAAATTATGTGCAGGGGTAACTTACTGATGATTCAGTTCATGACTATTTGTATGCCACAATGATAAGATTRTCTATGGTCAATGAGCTGGAACGGTCTCATCGTTGTTCTTGCTTGCAACTTACATATGGTGTGTCTCTATCTTGATAACAAAGCAGAATTGGGCATAGAGCCAAAGCATCTTCCCCTCAGAAGCTGAGCCTACTCTTTGATGAAAGGAGGGAGGGAAGTCAGTGTGTCCCACCCTATCTCAGAGGGGCAGCAGACACAAAGAAATGAGGAGGAGAAGTGGTTTCACTTACCACACCGGCCTCAGGGTTCCTCTTCCTGCCGTTGCTGAAGGTGGATGCCAAGGTGGAGGAGCAGCTCTCGTCGTACAGGGCTGTCCTGCCGTCATTGATGGCCGAGTTGATGGAGATGGTCCACATGCTTGACGCGTAGCCGTCACAATTGCAGTCATCATAACTGCCGCCGTCCCCRGAGGCCCACACGTAGATGCTGCCTTTGCCCCCGCGACCCTGGGAGAGCAAGGGAAGATGGTGCTGCCACGTCCAGCACCCAGGTCCAAGGGCTGCAAGGGGGCTGGCCCTGSCCTGGGCTGGGAGGCACTGTTCTCTGCCCCGGGAAGGTCCTGTCCTGGGAAGGGTTGGGATTTGGCTTCTTCATCAATTGAACCAAAGGATTGGACTATTCCTTTTTTTTTTTTTCCTGGGTTGGAAACCAGACCCTTTTGATGGGAAATAGTAGAAATTTTTTTTTCCAGGAAAGATCCAATATAAAAAATCACCTGGATTTACAATGTAAGCTGGGGATAATGATGTAAGAAAAACTACAGGAATCTATTTAAAATTTACAAAAACAGTAGCACATGCTCATTGTAAAAAAAAAAAATCTAAGTATATGAAAAGGGAAATGAAAACCAATGTCTCCAGAGGTAATCATTATGATCCCACTCTTATCATTTTCAGTGGAAACGTAAGTATACATATGTATGTACTTAGACGTTAACTATATAAGATATGTATACATTTACATATACATGTTGATATTATAAGGATAAAGTGTACTTTTTAACCAAAATATATAAAAATTTTACATCTATGTATATGTAAATACATAGATTTTTCTTTTTTATCCAATTGGATCATACTAGAATCCTACTAAACACAACATTACATGACATTTCACCTGTGCAAGAGAACATCAGATATAGGCAGAAAGTCTAATATGATAAAGTAGAACACACAGCAAATAAAACTTTAAACATATAAGATATTGCACAGTGATTATTAGTCACGAAAGGCAAGCTTTCTTAGGAATACCTACAGTTAGCATTGCTTTGCTGTTCAAACCGTGTTCTTAGTGTTGTATTTTTAAAGAGCGAGAGGGAATTTTTAAAAAAATATTTGTTTTTTTGTTTTCGGGGACACAACATCTTTATCTGTATGTGGTGTTGAGGATCGAACCCAGCACCACACACATGCCAGGTGAGCGCGCTACCGCTTGAGCCTCATCCCCAGCCCCTTAGTGTTTTTATCATTTTGTTTTCTTTCCTTGTCTTCCGTGAGTTTTCTCCTGTTGACCTCAACAACCCGGGATTGGACCCTTTACTTTTTGCTTCCTCCTCTCTTACCCTTGAGGCAATGGGGTTTGGGATTATTCGGCTGGGGAAGGGGGGTAGAGGAGAGCAGCCATGCAATGTGGGAGGTCAGAGGATGGTGTACAACCTCCACCTATTCCACACCCTGGCTCAGGGCATTCTAGGGACCCTAGAGAGCAAGAAGACAGAAGAAACTGGCAGAGAAAGTCTGTCCTTGCTTGGCCACCAGGGCTCCCATGGTCCTGATTTAGTGGTTTGCGGTGGAGATTCCAGAAGGAAGAGAGACACCCGGGTTACTTCCAAGCTCAGTCTGCCTCCTGACAGTGAGAAGTAACWTTTTGAATTGCTTCTAACAGGATTGTGAGTTAATTAGCCTTGATTGATTGAGTCGATAAGTCAACAAATATTTATTCAACCACTAGCTGGGAATCATTCTTGATGTCTTGGYAAGTCTATACTCATGAAAAACTTCACCAAAACAAGGAAATGCTCTCAGAAGCCAGGGCAGAGAGGAAAATAGATCATCTGTACAGTTGGTGTGGAGGACCATGCGCTCAGAAAGACTTGGATTTGGGCTCAGTGTCAAGAAATGGCATCTTCAGAAAGTGAACCTGTTGTGAATCAGGATAAATGAAGTCCTATGAATTGTAAGGGATGGGATGGACCGTATGYGGACCTTTGCCTGAGTCAGTCCATGAGTAGGTTGCTAATGAGATGAAGCAGCTTTGGTGAGAGGAAATCAGGCTGAGCCTTCTCATCTTGGTGTAGGGATCGTGGTAGATTGATTATATCTATGCCCTTTGCAATGGCTTTGCAGCCCTACCCATCAAGAGGAGGGCTCTATTTCCTACTCCTTGAATCCAGGATGGATTCATGTCTTCATTTGGCCCACAGAATATGGCAGAAAGTGGCCTTATCAGTTCCAGTTGTAAGTCTCAAGAAACCTTATCTGCTGTCTCTCAGAACTTAGTTGCACCGTCACAACAAACCTGACTTAGCTTGCAGGTTGATGACACACACATAGCCCAGTCAAATTCACTGCCCTAAACTGATAGACAACAGCCAGCAGATATGTGAGGGATCTGTCCTAGACCAGTCAGAGTCTAGCTTCCCCTTCAGCTGACCACAGATGCCATGAGTGAGGCCAGGTGTATTTAGCCAAGGCTGGTCCAGATCAGCAAAACAACCTAGCTGACCTGGAGCCCCATGAGCAAAACTCAACAATTGTTATTTTAAGMTACTAAATTTTGGGGTAGTTTAGTATGCAGCCTAACTTACTGATACACAGAGAGCAATTGATAGCCTCTTTTAGAGTAGTAGTCACCAAACAGTTTTGTATTGGATTATAAGACTTGCCCAAAGTATATTTTATTTCCTAGGAATATTAAACTTCATTTTCCTAAGCCAGACAGAACACATGAAGCAATAATTATAAACTTGCTTATAATGATTGGGTTTTAGCACCAAATGGTCCCTTAGCCTCTGGGGAAGATATGCCAATAAGAGAAAATTCTAATTCTGGGAGCAGAAATTAGTGGGGAAGGAATATCTGAAAGAGGGTAAGAGCTGGTTAGGGGATACAGCTGTCACTCTTATGCCACACTGTCTCATTAAAATGAGGCCCTAAGGTCCAGTTCTGTGCTCCAGCTTCTGTATAGCTTCTGGTCAGGAGAAACCCAGAGAGAACAAGTATGACCCAAATTCAGATAAAAATCCAGTTAGAGGATATTGGGGCAGAAACKAAGAATGACAATAATAGCAAGTGCATCTGTGGCACTTACTGTATGCTAGACTATTTTGTGTGCTTTACATATTAATGCATTGAAATCTCATGACACTACCATTTATACCAGCCACACAAAAGATAAAGTACTTAGGAAGAAATTCAACAACTTGAAAAAAGAARAGTGCTAAGTGCTAATACTTTGAAACTGTCTGGAGGGACATAGATGGAGACTGCCCACATGGAAATACCACCTTCTTGGATAGAAAGACAATAACCCAGACATGTCAATTTTCCTTATGTCAATTTATAAATTWAACCCATCCCAGCACTTAAATGGTCCCAACTGAGATTCAGTCAGGCAAACATTTCTATAGTAGGTAGATCAACAGGGAATTCTACTTTGGACAAAGTCATAAAGAAGAGTCAAAAACCCAAATGGGGCATGGGAGTTGACCCAGAGATTAGGATCTCTCTCTCTCTCCTTCCTTCCTTCCTTCCTTCCTTCCTTCCTTCCTTCCTTCCTTCCTTCCTTCCTTCCTTCCTCAGGGATTTAACCCAGTGGTGCTTAAATGCTGAACCACATCCCCAGCCCTTTTATTTTTTTATTTTGATGGTCTTGCTAGATTGCTTATAGTCTCACTAAGTTGCTGAGGCTGGCTTCAAACCTGTGATCCTCCTGCCTCAGCCTCCCAAGCTACTGAGATAGGAACCCTTTAAGAACTGGAAGGAGGAAAGGAGGTGGCTGGCTTGAGCCTGCCCCATGGAGGGAGCTGGGGGGCTGCCGAAGGTGTGGCTCTCTGTGGTTGTCAGGGAATGGAATGGCAGGCCGACCCTGGCTGTGCTGTTCTTATTGGAACTGTCTTCCCTTTTACTCCTCTTCCACTTTCTTTTTTTTTTTTTTCCAAGAAGGCAAGTGCATTTTGATGAAATGAAATATTCTGCAGCTCTTGAAATCAGACTTTTAGAATGTGGATTAGTGTTTCTCAAAAGCTTACACCATGAAAACTTTTCACCTAGGCACCATTTTTTCTTCTCCTCATGATTCTGGTGGTTGGACCCAGGGCCTAGTGCCTGTTTACCTGACACTATTAAATATTATTTAGCCACTATGGTTCTTTTTTTTTTTTTTTTAAAGAGAGAGTGAGAGGAGAGTGAGAGAGGAGAGAGAGGAGAGAGAGAGAGAGAGAATTTTTAATATTTATTTTTTAGTTGGCGGACACAACATCTTTGTTGGTATGTGGTGCTGAGGATCGAACCCGGGCCGCACGCATGCCAGGCGAGTGCGCTATCGCTTGAGCCACATCCCCAGCCTCACTATGGTTCTTAAACAGGGCAACTTTTGGTCCGGGGGCACTGTTGGAGATATATATATATATATATATATATAAATAATATATAATGTCTATATATATTATGTATCAACAGCTAAAAATGCATAATATTTTTTAAAATTTTATTCATTTATTTATATGCAGTGCTGAGAATCAAACCCAGGGCTTCACACATGCTGAGAAAGCACTTTAACACTGAACCACAAACCCAGCTCCCTGTTGGAGATATTTTGGTCACACACACACACACACACACATGGGCATGTGTACGCTAATGGAATCTAGTGCGTAGGGGCCAGGAATGCTACTGAAACTTTCTAATGCACAGGACAGCAGCCCTACCCCACAATAAAGAATTATCCTGCCTAAAATGTCAACAGTGTCTAAGTAGAAAAGTTCTGCTTGCTTTAACCTCATAGCCAAGGACAATAAGTCCAAACTTGCTGATGTCACCCAAAGCAGCTTCTCAGAAACTCAAAACTTCTTAAATGTTCACACACATTTTGATTTTTGTTCTTCATAGGAAAATAACGTGACAAGTTGCCTACTCTCAAGTAAAGTGAAGTTATAGCTAGAGTCTGGTTCTGTGGTCCTCTGTGCCCCCAGCACATGGTCTGAATCCCAGGAGGTGAGAATCCCACTTTGAGAAGCTCAAGTGAACTAGTGCCTCCACCCTCACCAATGGGTGGCTATCTAGTTAAAAACAGGACCAGGCCCTGTGGCCCAGTGGGGTCTAGATGTGCACATACCTGGTAAGGCAAGCCCTGGATGAGCTAAACACTCAATTAGACTAATTTTTATTTTCTGGTCACATTGATGTCTTAGTACAACATTGACTTGCTTTCATAAAAGTTACTGTAT